ACGTTATTTCTAAGGAAAAAAAATCGTATAAAAACTTTATAAAAAACGTATCCAATTTTTTTATAGGGTATGATAAATATTTTTATTTGTTTCAATGAACACTTTTTAAAAGCTACAAATAAGCTCTTTTAAAATTAATCATATTTTAGGTCGAATCAGGTCGGTTGTTGGATCAGTCGTTAACATCTTAAGGTCAGTACTTTTCTTACCGCGATACTCTGGTTTTTTTTCAATTGTAGTGATTAAATATTTATCTCCTTGAAAAAAACATTGATCTATAAAATTAAAAAATAAGGCTAGTTACAAAAATAACTAAGTAAGATACCGTTCAGGTAACCTTGGATGCAATTGGGAAGAAACTAGCTGATCGTACTTACATATTTACATATATGCGATCGATGGCCTCTCACATACTTCTCTCTATTGACCTTATATTTTTTTTTTCATTTTTTTTTTAATTTTTTCATCTGTTTTTTTTTTCTTTTAAACCAATTTTTTTTTAAAGCGAAAATTTTTTTCAAATTTTTTTTTTTCAATTTTTCCGATTTTTTTTTCAAACTCTTTCGATTTTGTTTTTTTTGAAACCAAAAATTTTATTTTTCAAATATTTTTAATTTTTCCTCTTTTTTATTTTAAACTGAATTTTTTTTTTATATAATTTATAATTTATAATTTTTTTTATTTATTTTATATATATATTTTTTGTTATATAAGTATACGGAGAAAAAGGCACTTACCGTAACACCGTAGCATCGATCCGATCAACTGATCCAAACCCAAAGGATGAAAGAAAATAATTAGGAAAAAAATTATAAGAATCAGCTCTACCATAACACCGCAGCGTCAATCCGAACACTGATCTTGAATCAAGTCTAAAAACCAATAAATCGAGTAAATGTAACATTTTAATTTTATTGTCCTTATTATTTAAGCGTAAAATACTTTTGCTTAATACAGTTTTGAAAAAAAATAAACGTTATAATAATGTAAACTATATAAGATTGTACTCGATTCATCATGTCAACTGAAATAATTATAACTTAATAGCTAATTAAAAAATACTTCAACATTGATTTTATTACAATATTTAACAGTTAAAATTTTCTTTCTATTTATCAATTAAAAATCAATCCTATACAACTTGAAATATTTCAATTTTTCCTATATCATCCCACCCATCTGTATTTCTGATCGGTTTTTCATAAGATTCTTTGTGACATTGAATTAATCCATTGGTAGCTAGAAGATCTCCATTACCAAATGATGGACCCTCAGTGAATCCGTTGCAAATGGCATTATTTTCATTTCTTACACGACTCAAAATAATATCACTATTCTTAAAAGAAAATATAAAGCTATCATTGGTAATACCATAATTTCCATCAAATTTCCATTCAATCGGATTATATCCTCCAAGAATTTCGTTACTATCTCTTATTTTATAAATTGTTACGGTGCGGAATTGATTCTTACAAGCTTTTTGGCACTTAACTTCCCTAAGTATCGAACTAAAATATCCAAATTCAGTATGAGAATCACGATACAATAATTTGAATTCATTTGAGATTGTCAACTTGTCTGTAGTTTCTAATTTATCAATCCATTTTGAGATTAATCCGGCATGTTGATTTGTAATGATATTAGAATCAATATTTTTTGATTTAATCTCTCCAACAGTACGAGGTTCTGATCTTTTAATTGGAGTATCGTCATTATTATTATCCAAAAAATATTCTAGCAAATTATTATATAATTCTTTTGGTAAGATTTTTTTATAAGGTTTTACTTTTTTCAAAAATTCTTTGGAAGTTAAATTACGGAATCTAATAAAAGGGATACATTGTTGTAAAGTACTCTTTAAAGTATTGAAATCATCTTTTGAAAAGCTGGTAGGATCAGAAGGAAGTTCTGGATTTTGTGCAAGTCCCCATTTAATCACATGTTCCCAAACTTGAATTTCGCTCATTTGATGATTATCGTTCTTAATAATCGTAACTAAAAGTTTTTTTGGAACCGAAGTGAAACGTGGTGAATTAAATATCTTATTTGGTTCTTTTGAAATCAAATTAATACAATATTTTTGAAGTTCTAAAAAAGAATCGTTTTCAAAACTTGTTTGATATATCAAATCAAAATTCTGTTCCATCCAACGTTTTTTATTTTCAATCAAAAAGGATTCTAAATAAGGGATTAATTCCTGAAGACCTAGTTCATTAGAAGCTATCAAGATTTTAATGATATCTGAAATATCATATTCCTCCAAAGAAAGTCTACCTCCATAAATATACCTAAAATAATAATAATAAAAAATATTTATAAAACAAATATTTATAACGCATGATGAGAGGTATTTTTTTTTTTATTACCTTAAGATTATCTGGAAAGTATCAGGTAAAATATTTGGTAGTTTAATATTTGGCAAAGTTCCATCATTTTTCTTTATATTAGTTGATAAAATTCTTCGCAAATATGAGGAACGATAATTTAAAATAACCATATGAGCACGAAATATTTTTACGACAGGGTCATTACCAACTTCAACTGTAATATCACAATATTCGTCATCATTTAAAATTTCAAGTAAATTTTGTGTTAATTTTAACAAAAGTTTATCATCAATCATTATAATTTTTAAATAAAATAAATTAAAATGTGAATTCTCGAAAAAAAAAAAAAACAAACCTTATTTATACAGCTTGCAGATCATTGCAGATCGCTTTCAATGTACAGATTAACTAATTTTGGTACGTTCGGCGTTCAATAAGTGCACGAAGCAGCAAATAGAAAGAATGCAAATTTGTCCTCGTCACTGAAAGTCCCTTGCATTTGAAAGATTATTATTCTGAATGGTCGTGACTAAAAACTTCTTTGTGACTCAAAAATCTTATTCGGTTCTTGGAAATTAAATAAGTATAATATTTTTGAAGTTCCAAAGAATCAGTTATAATGCTTGTTTTGATATATCCAACTATCCAACCAAAATTCTGTGTTCATCCAGTTTTTATCGCTTTAAATCAAAAAGTATTCCAAATAAGGAATTAATTCTTGAAGACTAAGTTCATTGGCAGCAAGTAAAATTTAATGATGTCTGAAGCATCATATTATTCTTCCAATGAAAGTCTTCCTCTACAGATGTATCTAAATAAAATAATAAAATTAGAAACATATTTATTAAAAATGATAACAATAATAATGACGGTTCATATACAGTATATAATTTACCTTAAGATTATTTGAAAAATTTCGGTAAAATATTTGGTAATTTAGTATGTGTTAAAATTCCATCATTATAGTTGATTCTTTTCAAATAAGGAGAACGACCATATGAGCACGAAACACTGATACGTCAAAGTCATTACCAACTTCAATATAATATCATAATATTTCCCACCGCTTAGAATTTCGAGAAAATTTTTTTGATAATTTTGGTAAAAGTTTGTTATCAATCGTTGAATAAAAGACAAAAAGAACTTTAGCTTTAAAAACTCAAATACAAGGTGCGCCTTAACAGGTAATCAATGTCGTGATTTTCGGCAACCGTAATGACGTGCTCCTTAAACTTTCTACTTTTTGTACAATATTACTAGTAAAGGTTGTTAAGGTAGTAAAAATACTATATATTTTTATAATCGAATAAAAATATTTATCATATAATATACAAAATATTTTTTACTCTATTTGAGAAATTTTTCTAAATATTGTCAATCTTTAGACATCAAATGTCAATCCACCGACTAATCGTGTATTATTTGTTTGGCTATAAGTTCATATATTTATTCATAAATCTATTTATCACTAAAGCATGCTATTTTCATTTATTTCGTGTAGATATTTTTAAAATAACCTTATAAGCACGAAATATACTTACGTTAGGATCATCGCCAACTTCAATTGTAATATCATATTTTTCATCGTCTAAAATTTCGAGTATATTTCTGCCAATAAAGTAAGTTTAAGTGCTCCTTTTAATGGAAATTTACTAAACGCCACGTGACAGTATAATTGAATTTACATTAAATAACGAATTTTTATCAATTTATAATGAGAAATCTTAGGTCAAATTTTTACAGGAACGTTTCAATTTGATCATTTTTTATTGAGAAATTATTTTCGGGGTTTCTACTTTTAAATTTAGATAATTAAATGAATTGGAAATCATAAAGGTAATATTTTTTTGGGTAAATTTTTGATTTTTTGGTTGAAATTCTAATTCTAAGTTGGAATTTAAACATTGTCACTTTTTTAAGTATTGTTTAAGATTAATTTTTACTTATTCCGAAATAAAATCCATTTTTTTTTAATCGGTAAAATGCTTATCATAAAAAAACGAGGAAAAATAAAATCATTCTAAAATAAGTTAACTGATTTTGGTTAAAATAGTTTATTTTGAAACAAGATATAATTGAAAATTGATAACTTAACTGATAACTTAACTGCGTATTACATTGATTTTGAATTATTGTGTAAAGTTTTTTCATGATAATATTCTTAGGAGAAATATTAACTAGCAAGTTGAAGAACAAATTTATGATTTTTTATATTTTTTAAAAAATTCTTATAATCATATGATAAAGATATTGTAAGCTTAGTGTGAATGAATTTACAAATGAGAATTAATGAATGAATTCAATATTAAATTAACAGTGATTCAGAATTGATTGATGAAATATTGACTAAAATTTTTGAATAATATTTGTTCTTGATATGAAAAATTTGAAGGGCCCATGACTCATTTAGTATTTCAAATATTTTGGATAAGTGGATTATATTTATTAATTTTAACACTTTTATTAAATATTATAAGTCTTGATTTTTTTAATTGCAAACTTTAAACTTTCTGATTTATCAATTATCAATGAATAAAATCATGATCAAAATTATATTTATATTTATATCAAAAGGAATTGTGTAAAGCAAAGGGATTGTTTGCTCTACACCAAAATCGCCAAAATCGATCCATTTTTGGAAAAAAGAATAAAAAAAAAAAAGAAATATTCGTATTTTTTTTTTTTTTTTGCGCAAAATCAGTTCAAAATACTAACACTTTTCACATAATCTTATTTTACCAAAGGTAGCATGGCATGATTTTTATTTTATCTGCACAAAAATAATTCGAGAAGGGTTTCATAGACATTACACGGATATTACTATGAACTTATTATTATTGAGATTATTAAGGTGAAAAAAAATGATTTAATATTACGATTATGTGATGTCATCGATCACAATTATAAATTTTCAGTCTGTAACGAAGACAAAAATCTATTTAACAATAGACTTTTTTGGTTACTCTTTACTTCGACTTAGCAGGTATTCCTTATAACTAAGTAACCGGCTTGTGTAAACTGCTTCCATATGAGTGGGTTTATTTGGTTTCCATTTCATCAAGTTATAAATGCGCCCAGAATTGTGTGAATTTGACAATTGACAATAAAGAGGCGATAATTTTCCAATTTTTTCTGGGGATTTAAATAAATTACCACCAACAGTATCATCACGAATTTTTTCCTTATCTCTTATTCTACATTCACATAATTCTTCAATGAAATCTGTTACTTCATATATAGATGGCCGCTTCGAAGAATCTTGATCCCAGCACCTCTTTAGCAAATCATTGTATACTGGTGGGGCAAAATGACATGTTTGCGGGCGAAGACCATTAAAAACTATATCTAATACTAGAGATTCATTATGAGGCCGATCTGCAAACGCAATAATTCCACACATTAATTCCCATAAGATGACACCAAGGCTATAAATATCACCTTCTTGAGAACGTTGCTTTCCATAAAACATCTCTGGCGCAACATTAGGAATTACCCCATACAATTTTTCTTCTGATTCTATTTTTTCTTCTGATTCTACTTCATCAATTGGTCGACACAAACCAAAGTCAGAAATGAATGCATATTCTTCGTTCAATAATAGAATATTTCCACTATGGAGATCGCCATGGACCCATCCTTTTGCATGTATCTTTTTGAGTTCAGCACATATGGTCTGAGCTATACCCAACTTGTTTGGTAATGAAAGGTTATCAAAATTTAGTAATAAATATCGCCGAAGATCACCTTGTGGTGCAAAGCGCATGATAAACAGGTATTCTAATGTCGAGGGGTCCTGTGTAATCCCGTATAAATGACAAAAATCGAACTGAGCTTGAACCTATATATGTAATTAGAGAAATTAATACCACATATACTGTATATATAATATCCTAATTTATGAAAATTAGTACCTCTGAAAGAAATGCTTGTGTGATTTCCATGTCACCCTTCAATTTCTTTAGAGCAACTGTACATGGACCACTTCGATAATGATATATTTTTTTTTTCGTCTTATAATCCTCTATATATTCTTCCTCTTCTAATGATTTAATTCCCCAACTCCACGTTGCAGAAAACACCGTACCAAATCCACCTTCACCAATCTTTTTTATTTGGGACAAGGAGTTGTATGGAACCCATTCAGGATATCGTTCGTATGAAGAGAAAAGTTGTGTTACCTGTATGAAACAATCAATTAGTTCATTACCACTGGTCCAACTCGAAAACTTACTCTGCAAAATTATGTGAAGACAATTTTCACAAATGTATGGCAAGTTTAAGTTGCATTTAGCAGCCAATAATGAATCATGTTCTAGTTTTAGACTATTTGGGTATCTTATTCTCTTTGGATTTAATGTATTCGGAAATTCATTATCAATTCGAAAATTACAATTTATATGTGGATTTTTTTCCTTTAGTTCAAAAAATTCACGAAGTGACATATTCCAGCTGGTTAAACAGAATAACGCAATTTAAGAGTTAACTCCGGTATTGGTTACACTTTTCATTGTAAAAATCACAGCCTGAATCACATTGTTACACCAATTATATCTAGATCATAGATTATTTATTTATTTTATGTGAAGTAATCTAGATCATAGATTATGTACAACGTGGAGCAACATGAGTCTAGACCTCCAAAGTCACATGACGAATCTGACAAACTAATCACGTGCTATTGTGCCAGCTCGGATCAGCACCCAGAAATTCTTCGATCACGTGATCTGTTTTTATTTATCACATCGTCACACCCTGTCCGAGTTTCACTGTTTATATTTATCTGAGGGACTTAGATTTTTCAAGTAGATGAAATTCTATTTGTCACGTTTTATTCATCACATCCTAAATTCTTCGATCACGTGTCAGTGCATAACGCCGGCCGAGTTCGAAGAATTTTCTGGGTGCCGTTGGGGTAGTTGCCAGCTCGGTTATTATCCTCTGTGGACGATGTGATAGATTGTATCGCCGCAAACTTTAAAGAAATTTTTTCGGTCTTTTAGGCCATTTTTTATTAATATTTTTTTCTTTTTTTTTTATAAACCGAAATATTTTTCTTGGTTGGGTTTTTTCTTTTTTCGGTTTGGGTTTTTTCTAAAACAGAATTTTTTTTTTTTCCAAATATTTTTAATTTTTCTTTTTTCGAATTGTCTTTTTTTAAACCGAATTTTTTTTTTAATTTTCAAATAATCTATACAGTATTATCCCCTGATCGGCACCATTTACACGATTATACAAAATTACAAATACTGGGTAGCAAATTTTATATCCGTTCCTAGGAGATTTTGCAGTAAAAATTAACTTTTGATTATACTATAATAGACGGCTTTGAAAATTTGAGTAATTCAGAAAGTTTTGCATTTTCCAAATGAGAAAAACTTTCTTTTAATTTATTTTTTGTAATCTCAATATTATTTTTCAAGTGTAATAGTAGAAGTTCCGAAACTTTAATCATTTTTTTAAAAAAACTTTTAAAATGAAAAAAAAAACCAATCGAAAGAACTATAATTATACTCAAAGTGATATACTATAAACAATTACTATTGTGTAAATGTCAAGGGATGAATAATATTTATATTTTTAATATGGTTTTTTCATTAATTTTATATAATTTTATTAGCTATATAAGCATACGGGAAAAAAGGCACTTACCGTAGCACCGCAGCATCAATCCGATTACTGATCTAGATTCAAGCCTAAAAAACAAAAGTAACAATAAAATTGTGTTGATAAATAAAAAAAAACACAATATAATAAAATTAATATAATATTTTGAATGAAAATATTATGCTTAATACGAAAGTTAATTTCGATAAAAATGTACGGTTGTAATAATGTCATTTGGTAAACGTAATATTTTATATATCATTATATAAGAAAATTAATTATTTTGAACAAAATATATAATATTTTAGGAAGAGGCTAACAGTTGAAAGTGATATATGATTACTTGATACAATGATACTGTATTATTAATAATGAAAAATATATATGGACGACAACATTAGATCCTTTCACCACCCTTCGTACCCACCATTACCATCTTCCAATAATTAATAATATACAGTCGGCCCCCTTTATAGTCACACCCCTCGGGACAGAAAAATAAGGGTGTGATTATAAAAAAAGTCATATGTTGTGACTATAGAGGAGGTTTTTCTAATATATTTATTAGTACATTGGGCCAAAATATGGTGTGCTTATAAAGGGGAATTTTATATGTTGTGATTATACGGAGGTGACTATATAGGGGGTCGACTGTAGTTGGTGCAATCGTAGGATTTTTGTTAAGTGGCATTTTCTTTATTTGGATATTTCTTCATATATAAATAGAATAATAATGAACAAAACCAAAAATCTATTAATGAAAATAATAATTATAATTACAGTCAAGAAAAAGCAATACAAAAAGGATATTCATAATAATGGGCAAGAAATTATTCAAGTGCTTATAAACGAAAATACAACTAACTACGAACCTGATTATCATGGGCAAGAAATTATTCTAACACTCAAAAATAAAAATACAACCGACCATGAGCCAATAATAGTTCCAGCTAATGATTATAATGGACAAGAAATTATGCAAACGCTTAAAATGGAAATTCAACCAACAATGAACCAATAATCCAGCTCCAGCGGTAATGATAATCAACATCTAATAATGATGGGTTATCATCACAAATTTTTAAAGATGAAATACTTCAAACTGTTAAACAAGAAATTATACGACAAACTTTGAAAATGAACTTCTTCAAGCTGTTAGGGATAATAATTTTGATATTAAAAAAAAATGCAAGTCAAGATTAAAATCAATGATCAATTTCTTTCAAACAACAAAATTTTTATATACAATAATTAAATATTACCTCAATGTAACAACGAATCCAATTTTTTTAAAAAAATAACTTATACAATATGTTTGCTGTTATCAAAGAGTGATGTACTTTTAATTAAATTAACTTTAAATTTTGATATAACATCGATTTGCGCCAAAATTTTATTTAACTTAGACTAAGTTTATACGTTTATACTCATAATTATTAATTATCCCATTAAAAATAAAATTTTATTATCAAACAAGTTAACTTAATCAAAACAGGGAGTTTAAATAGCTCCATATAAGACAACATCTTAATAATGTTATAAATAATAAATAAAGTATACAAATATTAAGAAATGTTTAAATTTCGAAATTATGATATTAGTCTATTATATTTATCTCGTAATTGTTGATTCACTATAAAAAATGCATTTTCCACATATCTATTTAAATCATGTAAATATAATGGATTGATAAAACCTATAATGAAAATTTTGTATGTATTTGGCGAAACCATATGGTTCGCCAAACCATTAATGAATCCTTCATCTAATCCTTTGGTTTATTTGACATAATACTGTCACTGATGATGGCATTTTTTCTAAAAAAAAAATTGTACAGCAGCATGAAAAGAAAGGATTTAAATATATACTGTATGTTAACGTTAATTTTTTGTCAATAATAAAAAAAAATTATTATATTATATCTTTTTTTTTAATTATTTCAAATCATTAAAAAAATTCTATCCTATTATTCTATTGTATGTACAGTACAGTACAGATGTACTATAATAAACTGAATCTTGAACACTATAAGATAAAATCACAAATACTGTATTACATTTTTTCTCTGAGTTTCTGATTACTAATTCTTTAAAAAAAGAATTTATATCTTTTTTTTTTTGATTTAGTTAAATTATTTTTTTTATTGGTTTTATAATTTCAATTAATATTAATTAATTTAGTTAGTAAAATCTATGCGAAGTAAAATTGTATTTTGACAAATCTTTTAGTGATGTAATTATAGTAAAAAGCATATTATTGTTTGTTACATGGCTTAACAGGATTTCAGGAAAATCTGAAAATAAAAGAGTTTTACTTGATATATTTTTATAATATTTATTGTATAAATGTAAATTTTTAAATGAACGTTAATATTCTTAAATAATGATTAAAAATTTGTTTTATAAAAAGAATGCTTTCATCTGTTAAAATTCAGTGTCAAATTAAATTTAAATGTTAGATGGGATTTTAGCGCTTTAGATGAAACCTAAAATCTTTTCATTTATAGAGTATAACTAAAAAAATTTGGTGACACTTAGATTAACCTGTATAAATAATTTTAAAATTGTATAATGTGGAAACCCGTGATATTTCCGCGCCCGATGTTTTAATGAGGCTAATCCGGTTCCAGTTAATCCAGTTAATGAAAAATCGAAAAAAAAGATTAAATTATTTTTCTTTCTCGGTCATACAATCAGCCGCAGAATATTTTTAAATTTTTCCTTTCCGGTATTTTTTTCTAAAATTTTTTCGAGGTTTTCTTTTTTTATCTCCTTTTTTTTTTTGAAAAGAAATCTTTTTTTTTTTTGGTTTGGTTTTTTTTTTCCAAACTGAAAAATTTTATTTTTTGTTTCTTTCGAAATTTTTTTTTATAAATATTTTTCTTTTTTCGGTTTGGTCTTTTTTTTCAAACTAAAAAAAAAAAAATTTTTTTTCCCTTTTTTCTTTTTTTTTAACAGAAAATTTTTCCTTTTACTATTTAGGTTTGGACCGGTGATCGGATCGATGTTACGGCGCCACCAATCCACCATCATACCTGCTTTTATCGAGAACGTGTATTAAGGTACTCATAGTATCTGATAAATCATCAAAACTATAATTGTATTTAATAACATAAATTGTAAATAACATTGTATTTAATAATATAATAAATTGTATTAATAGTTTATATCATTTCAATATTGTTGAAATATTAGCCAATTCTTATCTTTTTATTTTCGATATACTATAATTCAAAATTATAAATAAATAAAAACCTTAAATTAATATTATATAAAATCTAATATACCCAATAAATTTTATTATTATATTATTAATTCTGTTGCGTTGTATTAAAAATAATAAATTAAATGGTTTTTTATAATCTTTCATGTTCGTTATTCATCACGTTGTATATTTAAAATAGATTTAATTAAAAACGACTAAAGTAAATTAATTGACATTTCATCAATCATGTTTATATTGATTGATAAATATGATTTAAAAATACAAATTAATAGTCTATAAATAACAATCTTTACCAAATTATTTGAATACGGTATTAATCGACAATATAATCAAAGGCTATGATCTATTCATTAAGTTTAACCACCAAATTTATTAAACACAAATTGTATGCACCGGAAAAAAAAATAAAAGTATAGTAGGAAATAAAAAAAATTAGAAAGTACGATTTGAGAAACATATATTTTTCTTTTTTTGGTCGTGAGGCGTCAAATACTTCGTCTAAAGGTCACAAATTTATGTGGGCACAACATGAAGTTTGATCGACAATTTGCATTTTATTAATTTATTACGGTTTGAATGGACGAACTTAAAATAATTCTTTCTCCTCCTTTAATAAATTACATTATGTCTACTCTTCGATATGAATTAATTTATGCAACAAATAATAGAGCAACAATGTTAACTGATACCAATATTTACAATGATATACACAAACAATTTGAATTTCGAAAACAAACAGTCCTTGCTGATAAAATTCTTACAAATGATGAAATAACTGAAGCAATAAGAGAATTAACTAAAGATTATGATCTAGGTAAAGTTAGAAATAATTCAGGGTCAAAAAGAATTTGTGAAAATTGTGACCAAAATTGTTTAGCCACATTATATTGTGAATATTGTGTCCGAAATTATTTAAAAGAAAATTTTTCAAATTGGACATCTGGGAATGATGATATTGACAATTTAATACAGAAATGTCAAATGGAATCACTTAATCCACAAATGATAATTGAATGGATTCCATATAACAATTTGAAAAATATTAATTATTTGACAAAAGGTGGATTCTCTGAAATCTATACAGCAGACTGGATTAATGGAGATTATGGTGAATGGGATTCTGAAGAACAACAGTTAAAAAGACTTGGAACTTTCAAAGTAGTACTTAAAACGTTAGAAAATGTTGAAAGTGCAAATCAAAGTTGGTTTGAAGAGGTTTGTATAATTTTATTTGAATTTATTTATAAAATCCTAAGTTTTTTGTATTAATGATAGCATGCTGTCGTTTAGGCTAAATCACACTTAACTATAAATAATAAATGGTCAGTTATTGCTCAATGTTATGGAATGACACAAAATCCATCAAACGGAAATTATATGCTTGTAATTTTGAAAATGGATATAGATTTAAGAAATTATTTACAACAAAATCATAATCAACTTACATGGAAAGATAGAATGAAAATTATTGATGAAATAACTCGCGCGCTTTATTATATTCATAAAGAGAAAGCAATTCATAGAGATTTGCATTCTGGAAATATATTATATTCAAAATTTAATGATCGGTGGTATATTAGTGATCTTGGATTTTGTGGACCTGCTGATAAATCTTCAACAAGTATATATGGAAATCTTCCTTACATAGCACCCGAAGTTATTGTTGTAATAGAATATACTTTTGCATCTGATATTTATAGTATTGCAATTCTTATGTGGGAAATTTCATCTGGACAAACACCATTGATATTGTAATGAATATTATACACGGTATAAGGCCAAAAATTGTGACAGGAACTCCATTAGAATATAAAAATTTAATGAAAGAATGTTGGAATGCTGATCCATTAAAAAGACCTGACGCTTATGCACTTGAGAAAAGAATGGAAAGAATTAATATAGATTATCAAAATATGTCAGATGAATTATTCAAATCAGAAATAGATGATATAGAAATGAATAAAGTAGGAGAAAATTATACGAGTAGCAGATTATTTACAAGTAAAATTTACAACTTTGAAAATCTACCTGAACCAAGAAATGCAACAGAAGGTATAAATACATTTCTTAATAAAATATTATACACTTATTCTAAAATACATTATTAACGTTATCTTTTATTATAATAGAAGAACAAGAAGGTATAACCATAAAAAATGATAATTTCTACCATTTTTTTTTGTTACTATAATAATTTACTTTATTTTACTACTAATAGCGTTTCATAGTAAATTGTATGATTTTAACATTCCTAACAATAGTAAGTATTTATTAACATTGCAGCGTTGAATTATCATATAATGATGTTTAATAATTGATATTTATTTTAGTTAACGATTTTAATAAATCAAATGAGCAGAATAGTTCAAAAGTAGTTACTATTTTTGAAGGTAATGTATTTTAATTATTGTCTTATCGTCAAATCAAGATTGAATTTTTATATTAAATCAATATCTTAAATTTTAGATAGTAATAAAAAATTATCTAAATTATTTAAAAAGTTGCAAATAAATTCAATTGGTAAGAATAATTATAAATTACTAACAAATAAAATTCATTATTATATTAATTTCATTTATTTATTGAACGCGGCTTTATTTAATTTAGATGATGAAAAAGAAATAACTCAACAACAAATAAAAAGACAAAGTATTAATGTTGATGGTAGGTGAAAATTTTACGTAATAACAAATAATTTTCACTATTTTAATTCTATTTATTTTTTTTCTTTTTATAGATGATGATGAAGTATATAATAATCCAAATTTTCATTCAAAAGAACAAGATGAACTGGAAATTCCTGATGGTGAGTTCTTAAATAAATAAGATTTCTTTTTAAATCAATTTACTAATTTGGTAATTTTTTATCTTTAGATGGATTTTAAATTGACTTTATAAATCAAACCAATATTATATTATATTTAAAATTGTTATCATTTATTTATACTTTATTTTAAGTTATTTAAACACTAAGATTAGAGTAGTTAAAATGTTTAACAAGATTCTTAGTTTGTAATTTAAATAATTACTATATAATAAAGTTATTAAATTATTAAATCTATAAATTATCAATAAAAAATTAATAAAAATTATTAACTGTTACAATAACGAATAATTCGAATTTAGGCGAAAATAATAATAAATTTTACATTATTAAATAATATATAATCTTTTGTTCAATCCAAAAACTATGTTCTTTGTCGTTATTTATTCTTATCTAACTTTATATCATATATATAAAAAAATGATGAGGTTCAGATAATAATCCCTAAAACAGTAATATTTCAATTTTCCGTATGATGAATTTATTTTAACTATTAATAAGCTTTTTAGAATTTTAATCTACTCCTAACTAAAAATTATCTAAGGGATAAGGCTTATGGTTATATTAAAATAGTTTTCGGGAGTTTATTGTGAATTGTGATACAGGAATATGGATGTCTAAAAAATTTTTCATTCATTCTTTTTATTTTTTCTAAATTTTATTCATTTCTTTAGATGGATTTTAAATTTTTTTTTTGGTAAATTATATAAATTATCTAGAAGCCATTTATCATAGCAGTGCAGCGTTGCACAATTATTACGTTCAATTTTGATGTCGATGCACAATTTTAATACATCCTAATGCTCACAATTCCCAAATGTGCAATTCATATTAAAAACCAAACTTAAATAAGATGTATGAAATATATGAAATACATAATTTGATAATTTCTTTTTATAGGTAGGATCTATTTACCATTTTTTTGATAGCGTATTTGATAATTTTTTTTAGTACTGTATTATCCATCATTTTTCTTGATTTAACAGTATTTAATAATTGGATTATTTATCAGTTATTCAATTTAACCAAAAATTCAAAACAAAAATCTTAATTATCTTTCTATCGATATCACTAACAATTTATCTTCATATATTATTAAATTTAGTTCAAAAATATTACGAAATTTAGGTTTATTAATTACTCCAGAGGTAGTAGTACTGTTAATAATGATTTATTTTCATTTAAAGATGAAGTGAAGGAATTTGAGTTATATAATATTAAAATTCAAAAATATAAAGATTTGGTTATTGATAATAAATTAAATTTTATAGAAGAATTGGAGGATTTTTTAATATTAAGACTAAGAATTTAATATAAATTTTAGAAAATTTTGTAATTTTATAAATAAAGTTTAAATTCTTTAAATTTTGATAATTATATATTATTTTCTGCACGTGTATTATTCGAAAAAATTAAATTTTTTTCAATTATTGTAGGTTATAAATAAAGATTACTTTTCTAAAATTATACATCACATCACGAAAATAAATAATCAAAAAAATTCGCAATGTTTCTTTCTACTCTCCCAATTTATGAAAAAAGACTTTCTTATGCAAGAATTTATAATTTTTTCTTCGTAAAAAAATTTACTCCCCGCCTAAATCATAATTAATGGTATATTTATAATTTTAAACCAGATTATGAAATTGATATAGAATTCGATATAGAAATCTAAATAATAAATATATAATAGTGAATAATAGGTTGAATACCAGTGGGATATACGTATTGTTACGCGGGTCTGCGCCACATGGAAAGTTCAAGAAATTAGCAGCGATCCGCAGTGTAATGGTGTAACTTATACTTTGTATAGTTTATACTAAGTGTAATTTATACTTGGTATAATTTATATGAAGTTTAACTTATACATAGTATAATTTATACCGAATTTTCGAACAATATATATAGAGCGGGCGAACAGTGGGGAATAGGGGATAATTAAGGTTTATTTAGTGTTAAATTTTAGTATAGTTTATTCGGTAATATTGCAGATCGCCGGCAGAGGCAGCAATATTCTATTCTGATATTATTTATGAAATTTATTATGTATTAGCATTTATTTATTGCTTGATTATTTTAAGTTATTATTTACATTGAATAAATATACACTTTAAAATCATACATATAACTCTTAATTTTACATATATACTTTATTTCATTTCATTTTACGATAAACGTGACACGAATTTCTGTTACTAACACGTGACCCCGACGCAAATCGATAGTAACAATTTGGTGCCTTCTGCCAGAAACTGATACCCACCCGATTGTTGTATGATAGATTATAACCTATTCTTTCAACAGAATACTATACACGATCGTTGGCATACACGTTTAAACAATAATATAATCCAAGTTCAGTATTATCATCGTGATCTTTCCTGTCCATATTGTTACCCGCCTGGACCCAATACTCCACAATTCGTTAACTTTTGGGACTGGTATTCAACCGAAAATCCTACTGGAAGTTATACCAGTAATACTCAACAAGCACTAGAGGATTTATCGGACGCACCTACCATTCGGGATCTTTGGGAAGCTATCTATTCACTGGTTTTCACTGTAAGATATACCGATATACCTCGCCCTTACACCAATCTAAGGCAAGAGATATACAACGCTTGTATCCTTACCGATAATTTTGAGAAGGATTTTTACGGAGAGCTGCTGGAAGTAACTAGTGAAACTGAAGAACTTGAATTATCCGAAGTATTAACCGATTCTTCAGAATCCCTTGTTGTACAATTATCAACTGGATCATCCAACTATTCTGATTTAGAGATCAACTTTGATCTAATAGGACCGGAGCCTGGGCTACTATATATCAACGAAGATCTTTACCTTAATAATTTATTTAAAGAAGAAGAAGCCGGATTACTTTATACCGACGAAGACCTTCACTTAGATTTCCTATTTCAAGCACCAGATCCTGGTTTACTCTATACCGACGAAGAATTATATTTAGAAAATTTATTCAACGAACCAGAAGAACCAGACATGGCGGCTATGGCCGGAGGAATGCCTAATGCTAACCAGCTCCTTAACGCCTTGAATAATTTGACGAATGCGTTAGGAGTTGGCGGAAATAATATGCAAAATGTGAATAATGCTTTAAACAATTTAAACGCAGTGGTAACAGCTAACAATAATGCAATGCTGAATCGGGGAGTACAAGCGGCACCAGTTCCGACGTTTTATGGCTGAAACCAAGACCCGATTACATGGTTAAACGAGTTCAATAACGCATGCGCAGCAAACGGATGGAATGCAGCACGCAAATTGCAAGTCTTGCCCGCCTATCTGAAAGGAACGGCCGCAGTATGGTGGCAAACGGTTGTCAACAACTCTATAAACGCGTGGGGAGGAGTAGCGAATAATAACACATTTGAACATGTGTTCAAGCAGCAATTCCGAACACCTGCATTGGTTGAAATGTATAATATACTTATTTTATTTGTTCATGATTTTGGACTAACGGCAACAACAACCGAACGAAACGGTCGATCAATATGCGTCAGCAATCAGGGAATTATACCAGTGAATCAACACGCCGGTATTTGCATACCCGGATAATGTACAAGCCCGGAAGTTCGTGTCTGGCTTGTTACCAGAATTATACATGGCGGTGAAACCCTTTGGAGATCAAACGTTGACCGACGCCATTAATCGAGCAAAGGCCTGCGAATTGACGATGAATTCTGGAAGACCTCGGATAATGAATTATGCGCAAACCGGCAAATCTGAGATGGCTGAATTGACGAAATTAGTTACCGTGTTGGCGCAACAAGTTTCCGAAATTGAGAAAAAAATTGATAATCGTCCGTCTGGTAGTTATCTGAAACCACCTGCTGCGAGACCAGAACTATCGGTTCCAGATAGACCACCAATAGTATGTTACTCGTGTGGGGAACCTGGACATATTAGCAGACGATGTCCAAAGAAGGAGAATACTACCGGTGGTTTCAACCAAACTGGAAATATTGATCCCAATTTGCTCCAGGGATTGTTGAAGCAATTGGGAGGGCAAGGACAATCGGCGCCTTTAAACTAGGAGGTGCACCTTTGGAGGGTGAAGGTGCGAAACCCGTTCAAAATCCCTCGTATGTAACCTTGTTCCAAGCCTACCCTGCTCAAAGGAATAGACCAAAGACTCGAAGTACTCCATATCCGAATAAAGAAATAATCGAAGAGGAAAATGCTCGCGAAGATCCTCAGTATGCACCAATACCGATTCCTATCCAAACGACTAATAATGTTGGCGAAGGAGAGCCGATGACCGTCGATGCGAAAGAACAGGCTACCGAAATTAAAAAGAAGAAGGCTACGGTGCGGAAAAAGAAAACACCGAAGGTTCAGCCGTCAATAGCTGCTCACATACCACCGTACAACATAGTTGCCGATTTACAACAGCAACGAGCGAACATTACCTTCGGACAGCTATTTCAGATATCACCAAAGCTCCGAAGCGACGTAGGAAAAAGTTTACGGAAACCAATGACTAGAAGCGCTAAATTCGCTCATCAGGACGTACAAAGTACGACAGCAATGTATTGCGACGCCATGATAAAAGGGAAAAGAATCCCATTAATTGTTGATACAGGAGCAGCTGGTAGTATTGTTACCTGTCAGCTGTTGAATGACTTGGGAATTGCGATAGACCGACCATCTGCTATTGTGATGATAAACGTCAACGGGGAAAAGAAACGGCCATTGGGTGAAGTGCTGGATTTTCCGATAACCGTTGGTGGCGTTACTGTTCCTATCAACGTGGTAGTAATCGATACCGAATCTTATAGTGCCATAGTAGGTAACGATTGGCTATCGAAAGTGCAAGCCCAGTTAAACTATAAGGCATCGACGTTGTTGTTCACTTGGCAAGGCCGAGAAGTGGAAATCCCTGTTGAATATCGGATGATGCCGCACGAACGAACGATAAAACAAAAAGAGGAAGAGGCGAGGATAGTTGAAAGTGAAGAGGAAGAGGACGATGATGATGGAGATGAGGAGGAAGAGTCCGACGATGAATACGAAGAGGAAGAATTAGAAGAAAAGGTTTATTGTTGCTATCAGTTCGAAAGCGACAGTACGGATACTTTAAAGCAACGTAGATCGTCCGGACTGAAAAAAGAAAATAGTACGACGAGTGGGGATCTAGTTCTC